TGTACACAGCTAGAATTGTTGAATGTCAAGGACATTGATGGAGGCTGCATTGTTGAAAAAGAATGAAGTAGGGCACATGGGTCAGGAGAGGTGAGTAAAGGAACTCTTCTCTTATAGGGCCCTAAATGTTGAATACTTTAGAGACCTGGAAGGTCTTTTTAAACAGCTTTAAAGTTAAAATAATTCCATAATGTATTTCGATTAGCATTAGCATATAACTAAATTGAGGATACAAGACAGTTAAAATATAAAAATCGGAGTCCCATGCACTTCCAGGATAACTGTATCCAAAACTCCTACATAATGGCTGTCCTCACCTGCAGGGTATCTCTCATTCACCGGCCAGCTGTCTACCTGCAGGGTAGCATTACCACCACTACGGGTAAATCGCACCACATGATACTTCCCATCACTCACAATGGCCCCTGGCTCTTCGATAGTTATATCATCTGTTCCCACGTTAAAAATCACCCCCACTGTGCCCTGGTCCTAGAGGAGGATAGAAAATAAAGAACAGTTAGTGAATATATTAGTCTTTATTCCAAACATACATAGCATAAGGAAGGTTAAACTCAATTTTATTGCATGTATTGATAAGATTTCAAGTACTCTTAAGGTTCTTTTAAGTAAAACAGAATGTCTTTAAAGTGTCAATAAAACCCAAACATTTTCTTTGTAACTTTTTCTTTAAAACTATGTTCTGTACCTTTGTGCAGAAAATGTCCTTCCAATAACTTTTATTATTAGTAAATTATTAGTTCATCCCCCATTTCCACAGAATTTCCTGTTGTCAGTGGCAACACTATAGCAGCTAATCCTCTGGCTGTTGTGTAGCCAGTGTGCATGCTCTTCAAGTTACCTGAGAGAAAGCTGTTCACTTCCTCTTTACCCCTCTGGTAAACACAGCATGTGATTCTTTTTGTTAGCTTGAGAGGCAGCTCCAGCAGGCTAAATTACATTCCCTGCTCCCTGCCCCAGATGATAATTTGAGTCTGCTTGCAGGTCACTTGTAGGGATGATTGATAGTGGCTTCTTCTACCCTGCTAGCCACCACAAGTGACACACAGTGCAGAGGCTTGAGAGCTGCAAAGTGTGATTGGCAGCAGCTCCTACATAAAGTCTCGCTGGCCGTTTATTATCAGAATAAAGCAGCAATGTGTTGCATTGTATCTGCAGGTAAGTATTTATTTCACAAAGTTATTGTTTACCAAAATTAATTTCCCCAACTTAGGGAAACAGGTGGCTACAACAATCGACTCTGTGTGGCCACTGAAGAGCACAAAAAAATTCCTGCAGTGAGGTCTGCAGGCTTTATCAGAGGTTTCCTGCTTGCTTTTCTCCCAATCTCACAGTGCTGTGGGGAGCAAGTAGAACATGTCACGTGACCGTGGTCTATGGCAGCAAAAAACCCCAATGCAAATGCCCCCCCACCCACCCCCAAGTATTTAGGAAAATTATTTTCATGTGTGCTTCCACTGTTACTTTACCTTATAATCCATATGAACTAGTTACAGTGGGTTTAATGACACTTCAAGTACCAATACATTTGCTCATCTGTGCTTAACACTGTAGTATACATTTCAAGTAAAAATGTATGTTCTTTTCTACAACAGCTGAAAGTTACGTTTTTATCTTGCAATACAACATTTTTTAAAATCTGGTTATGAGAAACATCTTCAATTACATTATATTTAGTGTTATACTTAACCATGTTGCACTAACTTTCAGAGCGATTGAATTATACCAAATAAAAAAAAGAAAACTGGGGGGATTGATAATATTAACCAGCCTTAATTTAGCACACACTGAGCACCACAATACACTAGCAGCAATCCCAGTAGCCATTGTGTTACTCAATTCTGCACATGTGACTGGTTGGCATCACAGTGTGCAATAAGCTGCCTGAGCTTGCCCAATACTGTACAAATGAATGGCTCGATATGAAAGATGTTGCAGGAATGGTAGACATATAAACCTATAGAGTGTTATTTGAGGTCTGTATATATGCATATAAAATAGAGAAGGTGAATAGGCAGGCATTTCAAGATACTTGTTTTGTAGTTTCAGTTCAATTTAACACTAAGTACAGTGTTTAGTATGAACGCATAAACTACTCTGAAAAATATTATATTCAGCAAGCTTTTGGCAAACTTTAAGAGCTTTCCTTAAAGCCCTTACATTACCTTCCAGCTCCAGTCCATAACCCCCACTAGGTTATTGCCCCAGTAATTAAAAAGAAAACTAAGTGACATGCCCCAATAGTTACTGAAATTCATGGTCACTTTGATTGCAATTTGATTGCAGAGCCTTCTTGGTTCTTCTCTTCAGAATAGATATTAACATCTCCTATTGTCTCCATCGCTGGGGTCCTAACAGGTTCCTGAAGTCTCCAAGGGTGGTGTGGTAATGCCATTGCGAGGGGCTGTAATAAGATCAATTGGCAACAGCCTGGGCTGCAGAGGTGGTTCACCAGTTTTCACTTCCAAAATTGGGATTATGGATAGGGTCAAGTGATGGCAGATTCAACTCGAAAGTATTTAGGAAATGCTTTTCTTTTAAAAGGAATTGTGATTGGGTGATGTCAGATTTAGAAAAGTTAAAAAGGGCTTAGGAAAAGTTTTTTTTGGATGATTGGGTGAGTGATTTGGGATGCACTACATTTTTGAAGGTGGGGCTGAAGACAGCGCAGCAGGCCAAAGCTGTCAGAAGAGGTAAGTACCGTATATACTCGAGTATAAGCCGAGATTTTCAGCCCATTTTTTTGGGTGAAAAGTGCCCCCCTCGGCTTATACTCGAGTCAGCGCCTGGTGTCATCTTACTTACCTCGCCGAGCGTCGCGTCACTGCTGCTCCGGTGGGCGGCGCTCCGAGCGGGGTCATCTGGCAGTCTCCGGCCACCTAAATTAGGACCCGGAGACTGCCAGATGACCCCGCTCGGAGCGCCGCCCACCGGAGCAGCAGTGACGCGACGCTCGGCGAGGTAAGTAAGATGACACCAGGCGCTGACTCGAGTATAAGCCGTCCCGAATATAAGCCGAGGGGGGCACTTTTCACCCAAAAAAATGGGCTGAAAATCTCGGCTTATACTCGAGTCAGCGCCTGGTGTCATCTTACTTACCTCGCCGAGCGTCGCGTCACTGCTGCTCCGGTGGGCGGCGCTCCGAGCGGGGTCATCTGGCAGTCTCCGGCCACCTAAATTAGGACCCGGAGACTGCCAGATGACCCCGCTCGGAGCGCCGCCCACCGGAGCAGCAGTGACGCGACGCTCGGCGAGGTAAGTAAGATGACACCAGGCGCTGACTCGAGTATAAGCCGTCCCGAATATAAGCCGAGGGGGGCACTTTTCACCCAAAAAAATGGGCTGAAAATCTCGGCTTATACTCGAGTCAGCGCCTGGTGTCATCTTACTTACCTCGCCGAGCGTCGCGTCACTGCTGCTCCGGTGGGCGGCGCTCCGAGCGGGGTCATCTGGCAGTCTCCGGCCACCTAAATTAGGACCCGGAGACTGCCAGATGACCCCGCTCGGAGCGCCGCCCACCGGAGCAGCAGTGACGCGACGCTCGGCGAGGTAAGTAAGATGACACCAGGCGCTGACTCGAGTATAAGCCGAGATTTTCAGCCCATTTTTTTGGGTGAAAAGTGCCCCCCTCGGCTTATATTCGGGACGGCTTATACTCGAGTATATACGGTAACAATCTGCAAGGAAGGTATCACAATTTACTGTATTAAGGGAGTAGGGGGCTGGAGGTATTTTTTTTTTAAATAGTGTCCTTAAATTCTTCAAGAAAGAACGTTTTTTTTCGGCTACAAATACTGTAGGAAGATATCACCTGAAATAGTTTTGCAATTTTAAAATTGTGCAATTCTTAATAAATATTTCCTTTTAACATATAAAGCTCAGTACAGGAAAGGTGATCAGTTTATTACTGGTCACAGCCTAGTGCATAATGTTTAGCAACATATTACTAGATTGTTGTAGAGCCTTTACTGATTAACCGGCAAGTAAAGTAACATTAAGAGAATATGTTCCTATTGGTCCTTTGAAAATGTAATGTGGTGGTCTACAGTGTTTCCTCTCTTACTAACAATGCTATTTGTAAGTGTTAATATGTAAGATGTCAAAAACCACATTGACACAATGTATTTATTACAGTACTGAAAAGAGCACTGATGTTGTGTAAGCTTGCCTTTACTCACAGCAACCAAATTTGTTAACTATCAAATTAGTGCAACATGAATTCTGCTTGGTTATTACACTTTGCACGTCTAATAAAAAAAAACTCTTTCCAAGGTGTTTTAGCAACGCTTGGGTATCTTAATCCATGTAGATTGGCATTCATGAAAAAGTCAAAGCTTTAAAATAAACACCACATTACACAGGCTAGCTGCTCATCATTTAGATTGGGTTCTCTGAATCATAAAAAAGAAAACAGAGCTTTCTGTTTTAGGTTTGTATTGATCATTGTCTTGTAAACAAGCATGAATTTGCTAAAAACTGCTTTAGTCAAAAGCAAACTGCCCTGAAGTGATCTATAGAATCCTTTGTACTTGCAAAAATTCGGTGAATTGGCTAATCTATAGTTGCTGACATCTGGAAATATTTAAATAAGGATTATTAATAAAGCTGAAAATAATATTTGTGAATCCCCCAGTGGACCACATTGTAATCACTGTAAGTGAAGCTCAAAATATGGGCATTCCTTTGGGGGAGGTACAGCCAGCACCAAGCCACCACCCCCTCCCCTTTGTGTGCTGTATGTTTCCTAGTAAGACTAATGTGCCTATGATTAGGTATTCCAGTGGGATTGTTCTGGAATATCGGATTACAGGTACATTACTCAGTACCTGTGAACAATCCACATGCAAGCAGTACAATACACAGTGCAGATACAATATGTGCACGGTACTTGTGTACTATACTGTGTTATGCTCTGTACAGACTGATCATTTTCGCAATAAGATTGATGTATGCTCCCATTTGCCAGTGTGCAATCTCTCAAGTGCTGGCTCCTCTCTGCTCTATACCCCCTCCCCTTCATTCTTCCCTGTCTCTGTATCTATAACACCTGTAATATTCAGGGCGGATATGACCCGTAGCCAGCCGTATCAGACAAACTTTTATTCATTTCCACAAACCTGCCACGGATCAGCCGAACTGCGAGGGGATGCGAAGGCTCTGTGAGGAGAGGTAGGGTCGAGAGGCTCCACTGTGCTGGGATGCCAGTGAAGGTCTGGCGTCCGCATCGATTGCTGGAACGCCAGACAAGTGAAAGATTCCGGCTTAAGAGGAGGAGGGGGCGGAGCCGCGTGACGTCAGCGGCCCAGGGGTGGAACCCCGCGTCGTGTCCGTGACGTCACATGGGTGAGCCGCCGGGAGCCGTTACAGTACCCCCTGCCAATGGTACCCACTTGGGTAGAAGGCCTTGTGGGATGCCGTGCATGAAACCTGCGAACAAGCAAGGGGGCGTGAACCTCAGAAGCATCCTCCCAGG